CCAGTCTCCCCCAGCCTCCCCCAGCCTCCCCCAGCCTCCTCCAGTCTCCCCCAGCCTCCTCCAGCCTCCCCCAGTCTCCCCCAGCCTCCCCCAGCCTCCAACAGTAGAAACACTAGCGCTTTTGCCCACAGGGGGCGCCAGAGTCAACACAAAGTTCCTTTGAGTGTTAAACTCCCGCTCCCCACATCATTCAAACCTCCCACAGTGGGAACAAACACTGATTCCTGACCAGTAAAACATGTACAAACATGTTTAAGTTACGTGTTCAAATCAACTTAGATATTATTCTCAGATCATTTTAACTCCTTTTTATTGTGTGTTTCTGTTTGAATCCACCACTGACTCTCATTCATTATAGTCTTTATAGAAAGGTAAACTGGGGCAGTGGAATTAATTTTTAATAGTAATAAGTGAAGGAAGCTGCTGGGTGTTGCTCAACTTGGCTTATATGTGACTGTTTGTGTGTTAATAAGTGAACCAGAGAGCTAAAGGACGTTAGCGACGACGTGTTTCCCTTTTATCTGGAATCACTTTCTCCTTTTCAGGGAAGGCTGATAACACTCACATCGAGTGAAGAGCCTTTAACAGGCTTCCTGAGTGGCAATCAACTGCGGAAACAGCTTCTAAATGAGCATCAATGCACTTAATGCACACACACACACACTCACACACACACACACACACACACACACACACACACTCCATAATGCTGCTGGTAAAAACAGAGTTTATTATCTGAACACAAAATGAGGTTAAAAGGTTAAATGGACGACAGTAAGAAGATGTTTCTGTGTGTACGTTAGCTTTGTGTTAGTAACAATCCTGAATATGTTGCATTGTTCCTGCAGGTTTATATAATATATAATATATATATATATATATAATATTACAGTAAATAAAGTTATAATTGGTCCTGTCAGTTTGTTGGTAAAATGTAAAAATAAACAGTTTGCTAAAGAACTATTTCGATATTTTTATTCTATTTTGAAACAGAGTTTACTGTCGTCGTGTGTCTGTAGTTTATATAAACTGAGTTTGATAAAAAGTGATTGACGATTATATTTTAATTGTTATGAGGCAGAAAAGAAATAAAGTTAAATAAAAACATTAACTCAAAGCTGCTTTGTCTCTTCTTCAGTGATGACTGCTGTTGTTTATTCCCTGAATTACATAATTAAATCACTTTGAATTTATTTTTTTGAGTTAAATTAACTTATGTGGTTTTACAGTGTACTTTATTCAGCTAACACACTTTAAATAAGTTTGGATATCAGTGTAATAAACTGACACCAGTTCAATTAACTGAATTTAACAATAAACACTTTTTCTCAAATTAAATCTTTTTTCTTGCTTAAACTGTTGGTGGTAATACATTTAAACTCAATTAATCAGAGACTATTTGAGTTGAACTGACTCATCAGGTTTTACATGAAAATAAAGAAAATGATGAGATTGTAAAAAACCGGTTTAAAAAGCAGCAGTTTGAATATTCAAAACCTCCCGGATTATTTCCATGAACACGCCAACAATGACCGCCATGTTGGGAGCCACAGGAGGAAGAAGAGTCTTTTTACGGTTGTTTGTGAGACTGGACACAGAGAGAGGTCGAGGGTTTGAACCGGAGGAGACACTGAGGCTGGTTTCCTTTCAGAGCGGAACCGGTCGGTCTGCATACCGACTGCGTTCCAGAGCCCAACCTGCTCTTTAAAGCAGCCGTATGCACTCTCTCTTTTATTATCCTTAACATGGTTTAAGAGTTTCCTTAAAAGTCTGAATGAGCAGCGAAAGGAATATTTTACTCTAAAAAACCTCCAAATATAAGTTTTATATTTATTTATTTTATATTTCAAATACTCAGAGAACTGCAGTTTGGTGACGTCAGTGTTATAAACTCTGGTTTCAACCTCCTGAAAGGGATTGATTGATTATTACTAACTTATTTATTTCAGTTTGGGACTGTTGGTCAAACAAAACAAGTATTTATTTATTTATTTATTTAGTTTGGTTACAGGAAGTTGTGATTGGCATTAAAGTTGAAGCTGTTACAGAATAAAAGCATCAAACCTAATCAATAATGAAATGTTAGTCCATCAAAGGAACCAGCTTTAGATCAATACACTGTAAAACCAGATGAGTTCATTTAAGATTCATCAACAGCACACCATCTGGAGGTAAACAACAGCATGCCACACCTGGATGTCCTCACAAACTCCAATTCCTGATTGTTGACCCCCACTGGCCGACCCACCTGCACAGGTGAGCCCCTGCTGGAAGATGTATTTGCAGCACACATCGCACCAGGTGTTCTCTCCCCCAGGCTCGAAGGTGTGACCCTCCCCGGACTCCTCTCTCACCCTCGGGTCCTTCTCTGAGAAGATGGTCCTCACATCGGGGGGTCTGAAGCCCTTCTTCCTGCTCCTCGGTGGCCCCCCACCCTCTGGCTCTCCGTTCCTCCGCTCCTGGCTCCCCTCCGGGTGTCCCCTCTCGCTCCAGGCCGCCTCCAGGCTCTCCAGGCGGGGGGGCTGAGGAGACGGATGCCGCCGGACGGCTCTCACCACCGCGCCCTTGTTGGCTTTAGAGATCCGCATCTTGGCGCCCGGCAGCGGCCAGGTCGCCTCCGGTGGGTCGGTCAGTGTACCGGTCAGTGTACGCACACTGTACCCGCGGGACTCTGTTGACGATGAACCAGAGAAACTCCGCACGGTTACACGGAGAGTCATCCGTGACCCCGAGGAAGCGCGGTGGCACGTATTTCTCCCGACCTCGGTGCCAGACGTTAAACATTACGCACAGTCCTCATAAGCGTCAGCGACCGAGGAAGCCGGTGGAGGTTCACGTGACACAGCGGAACGTTATTTGTTGTCGTGGAGCCGGTTGCAGCGGTTGGGGTGTGCAGGGGAAAAACGGGTCTAGGACCTCCTCATTCTAAACTCGGAGACAGGCCGGGAGCGCTCCCAGGGAAGGAGGACGCACCAAAACTGCGTCCGTTCAAAAAAACGCTCATTTAACGATTCTTCCCTTCTACGTCCAGGCTATTGCCCGTCACCGGACGGTTACACTAACTAATACAAGCAACTAATAAACTTCAGAAACAATTTTAATAATTGTCCTCTTCTGAGTTCGGCATTAGTTGGACCCACCATACAAAGCGCGCACATATTAATGAAATTCTCTAAATACGTGACTTTTATTATCTGGCCGCGCCTTCTTGGCTCTGACATTATTGCCATATCCCATCTAACACTTAGGATGTACTTAAATGCTAAAGCAAAGCTTCAGAGATTCATCAATATACATGGCCAAAATTTGTCGAATAAACTTCATTTATCAACTTGCTACTCTGAGAAAGACTTGGAAAGTTAATTAGAATTTTAAAAAATGGAAAAATAGTAAAATGATCAAAAATCTTAAAATGAGTTTCACAAACGACTGTTAGTATATATAATTCGTAGCTTTCGTCCTTTGACCACCACAGCGGCGCTGTTTGACCAAGTTACATATGTAACCCAACCAGGCGCGGCACGCTCTCATTGTAATCAAAGTAGCTTTCACCTTGTTCACATAGTTAGTCAGGGTTAAATATTAACTTACCAGTTCAACACATTCTTATGCACCAGCCTCAAACAATAACTTATTAATTAATTAAATCTCCACTCACACACCGACACACAATGCTCCACCAACAGATCACAGACACACCACACACACACACACACACACACACACCAACACACGGAAGCAGTTAGAAAAGTCTGAATGCAGCTTATTCTTTGGTCAATTTGTAATATAAAACATTACACATCTGGGTTGACCTAAGATTAGTCAAAACCTGAAACTAAACCACCGTAGAAGAAGAATGCATTTAGAAAAAAGAACAATATTCATTTTAGAAATACCGCCAATCCTCTCTTTTTCTACATACAAAACGCTGGCGAGGTCGTTTTTATCCAAACTAGCATCCGCACCCAAGACATGTTTAAAAATGTCCTGAAAAAAACCCAACTGATGATGTTTGTATGTGTCTCTCTCTGTGTGTGAAATAGTGTGTTGTGTTTGTGTGTTGTGCTTGTGTGTGTGTGTGTGGGAGCAGACTTACACTCCCTCAACTTCACCCCTCCTCTCGTCGCAGCGAGGAAAGAGAACCGAACTGTGAGTTATTAATGTTAAAAACAGTGTCTTGTAAAGACTTTGGCAGTGGCACTTTACAAAGAGAGATAGTGAAACTATTATCCCCCCATACAATGCATCCCTGCCATACTAATGCTGTGATTGTGTATGTAAACTTGAATACAGGCGTTTCTGTTGCTTCTGTGGCTCCGTTTAAATCCCGGCAGGAGCCCCTGAACGCCCCTCGTCTGAGGGGGCCCCCTTACAGCGGGTGAGGCCGGCCCCCTCTGGAAGACCCGGTTCAGATCACCTGGACCGTCCGTCCTCATTCCCGTGCACCCTGTGGAAAGGCTTCCTGCCCTGTCGGAAGGCGGGAAACCATTAAGCTCCACCAATTAGCTTACCTGTGTGTGTGTGCGTGTGCGTGGTGTGTGTGCACGTGTGTCGATGTGAGAGAAATTAGCCACTTGACCCCTCACCCCCATCATCATGAAGTTGCTCTGAACGGCTGAAACGTCATGTATACATCAAGTCCCCCCCCCCCTTATATCGACCCCTTTCCCATACAGGAGCCAAAGACGTTCGACACGAGGATAGCGCTCCGTGCTCTCACAGCCCCCACCAACACTGGAACAATCAAGACTTATTGAGAGACTCATCAGTAAATCAGCATCCTGTAAACAGACCCAGCGGGGGCCTCAAGCTCCCTCTGCAAGCTGGCTGCTGGACTCCTCAGTGAGAGAT